GCCAGTGTCTGGAAATCTCGTCTTTTGCTTGCTGAGTAAAAGTTGACTTCGTTGAGGGGTTTACAAAAAACAGCCAGCTCTCCAAACCGAAAAAAAAAAAAAAAAGATGGGATGAATCGATCAGCTATATGTCCAACTTAAGCTCAGCTGATATATGAAACCCCAGGAGGATAGTTCCCGTCTCGCTCTTCCAGAAGCAGTCGCCGACTTACCATATCCCGCTTTCTGGGGGCCAGCGCCGGCCCCACTTATCCCGTCCCTCCACATCGCCGACCTGCCTAACCTTGCCCTGCGGGATGTCGGGCATCACTTTGTAGCACCGACATCATATCACTCTGGTCCATTGATTCCGAGTTTGTCAGCTGTACAAGTCGCCGTCCAAGACACCAACAGGCACTACACAATCGCCGACTGCAAGCATGGAGCTAGAGATACAAGAAATGTAACATCGCGTCAATTTACACATTACTTTATCCAGTAACAATTCGTATATCCATCCCCAACCCACCATCATTCATCCCCCTTTTCCATCCATCCGTCCGGTGCCCCTTTTTATACATACAGACATAGCCCCCGGCCGCCCCAACGAACCCAAAAAACCACCCCCCCAACCGGCTACCCAAAAAATTCATTTCAGCCACCCTAAGCACGGGTAGTCATCTTCTTGGTCCCCTTCTTCAACTCCCTCTCGCGCTCCTTTTCAAGATACTTCTTCTGTCCCTTGGCGTCCAGCGCATTCAGCTCAGCATCACGCTTGGCCTTGCGCGCCTTCTCCTTCTCAATCGCGCGCTCCTCAGCCTTCTCCTCCTCCTCGGCCTTCTGGATCTTCTTGATCATGGTCTCACGGACCGCCTTGACCTTCTTGACAACCTCGGGCCGGAAGTGGGCCGACTTGGCGAGCTGGTCAGAGATGCGGAGGAAGTACTGGAAGATGGGGACGAGGTTGGTGTAGTCATTGTTGGAGGGCAGCGAGTAGCGGAGGAAGATGCGCTTGCGGGGAACCGTCTCATCGAGCCTGTTTGGGTACATGTTAACCAAAGCTCAAGTACAAGGGTTGCAGCCAGGAAACTCACGTCTTGGGCTGCTCAACAGGTTGGTCAGAAATGATCAGATACTCAAAAGAATCACCAGCGTTCTCGGCAGCCTTGATGAGCTCAGGGGTCAAAAGAAGGTCGGTAATCTCGGCGCTCTCGCTCATGACGGTCAACCACTGGGGAAGCTTGGGGTGGTCCTTGGTGACGGTAAGAGACAGGTCGTAGCGATCATCGCGAACTTGCTTCATCTGGTCCTTGTGAACAAGAGCCCAAACAAAGTTGTCATAGGTGCTCTTGTCCTT